GGTCGAGAGAAACAGGGTGAATGCTCACACTTAGATTTTTAACATGCATACTTAAAGTCTAGTTCATTGGTCAGCAAACTACAGCCCACAGGTCAAATCCAGGCGGCTGCCTGTTTTTGTATGGCCCAAGAGGTAAGAAAAGTTTTTACATTTTTAAATGGCTGAAAAAATCAAAAAAATATTTTGTGAGATGTGAAAAGCATATGAAATTCAAATTTCAGTGTTTATGAATAAAGTTTAAGTGGAACACTGCCAGTTAATGAACCTCACTAATTCATCTACACATGGCCTATGGCTTCTTTTGCACTAAAATGGCAGAGCTGAGTAGATGCAGCAGAGATTAAGGGTAGAAGAAGAACATATTCTCTGCCAGGTTCCAGGCCAAGACAGACAAATTTCCCTCTTTCTTCTGCTAGTGGCCAGGTTTGTTGTGTGTTCTTTGTCTAACCCACACTTTCACTCATAATGAAGCTCCCCAAGAGTCCCGTCTTTATCTAGAAGCAACTTTTCATCTTATATGATGCAAGGCCGTGTCTCCCTGGCCCCCGACCTGCAGAGTTCTACCTTCTACTTTCAGCAGCGGTGGGGTGGTGGTAAGGAACTGGTCTACTTCTACTGTATGTACATTTCAAACAATCGCTGATTGGCCTAACTCTGTCTCCTGTGACTGCTGGTACCTCCATTCCCGAGCCTTTCTGGGGTACTACTAGTTAAATTGCCTTGCACCCCATAGGTATCCCCCTGTTGATACTTAGGTGTGGTCTTCCTCCACTCTACTAAATCATTTGCCAATCTTATATCTACTTTTTGTCTTCAGATGTTGTGGTCCAGGATTGCAGATGTCTCATTTCATCATGGGAGGAGTGTGTGCTTCTGTTAAAAGTCCTTCTTTTGGTGTGTGATTGTCAAGACAAAGAAGGCCTAGAAATGTCTTCACACATTCCTGAAACTAGAACTTTCCCTCTGTTTAATAAAAGCCCCATGAGCTATTTCCTAGGCAACCAAAGCTTAGTCACTACTTTTTTAGTCTTTAACCACAGCCAAGTCTTTTGCTGCAGCGTATTCAGAGGCTAAGTGTTGCTGGGCCTCCTTCTCTTTTTTTGGGCAGATGTGGTCTCTCACACTACTTCAGGATTTGATACTAATTTTAACTACCCTCTCATTATTTAAGAAGCCCTGGTGGCACAGTGGTTAAGTCCATGGCTGCTAACTGAGAGGTTGGCAGTTCAAATCCACCAGCCACTCCATGGCAGAAAGATATGGCAGTCTGCTTCCATAAAGATTTACAGCCTTGGAAACCCTACAAGTCTGTTCAACTCTGTCCTATAGGGTTGCTATGAGTCGGAATTGACTTAATGGCAGTGGGTT